AAAGAATGTCAACATTTCCAAAGCTAACATTTATTACTGCCGTGTTTATAATGGTCGGGAAGGAGTGCTTTAACACTTTCACCCGCATTCAGTGAGTGAGTGAATTAACATTTAAAGTCACATCGGCAATATTTCAGCCATATCCTGACTACGAAAGCTCTCTATTAATATTAACCAGCCGGTATTTAATATATACCTGTTAATGAAAGACAGTAAAATCGCTAGCCTATCTGAGAATTTATCTTAAATCTAGTGAATAACCATAAAAACATACTACTCTAAAACAACAATACAATATTAAAACGGCCTTTAGATCGCAAACAACTGAAACTAAATCACCATACTAGAGACCATGGCGACTAACAGTACTTTTTGTTCCTAGACTCTAGCTGGATTTACACCATCCCTTCAACCATGGCGATTACAGACAAAGCTGGACACGAATTAAAATGGCAGACAATCTACGATTAAAAACACGGTAACCTTACATTTGCAATGAAAGACGTGTTCTTAAATATCCCCCTCAGGAGGAAAATAATTTTACAAAAAATTAACCCCCTTTGAGGATACAGCCACTAACAATTTAGTTGCTAATTTAATCTACCAATTCTGTAATCACAGATCTATTTACCGAATATAAAAACATATCCAAATTTTGTAATTATTCTATGTTTTTACAAAATCAATAATTAAATACAAATTCACTCTATTTGAAAGATCCCACATAGAGGAAGTATCCCTTGTAATAGTCGGTTTCACACGAAGGTTTCGTATCGCTTCAGTATTCCAGATGCTGGCCATGATCCAACACTTTTCTTTATACGTCCTGGTAAAGTTCATTATCCCGCCTTACATATGTCAGGACGTTTAAGCTGTTATATGTGACCCTAGTCAATTCCTGGCCTGAATTCCACGCTTTCTGTCCAACGTTGAACAATGTTTCTGATTCATCTCCATGTATACTTATGTCCGCAGCTGATATCAAAGGGGCTTATACCATGGATCTTTGTGTTAATTGTGTTTCATATAAATAGCGTCGTTGCTTCCATATTCAATTTGTAGAGAACACGTTGTGTGGCTCTCAGATTGTTGTTTGGAACAACAGGAACCAGAACAACAGAATGCATATAATGTAACATATACATGGCCTACAAATCTCTTTTCGTGTACAAATGTATCTATTTAGAAACTATTATAACATAGACAGAATATTATACATTTTGTGGAATCTAAATCAATATCAAAGAAAGAGTTCTCCAATTGTGAATCCTAAAGTTAAAATATGAAAACAAATGCCAGTTAATTTATATCAAATGTATCTGTTGAATAAAGAGACGATTCTATTATTTCGAGTACATCATGAAGATTCGAAATACAGACAGCCTTCAGGTCGGAGGGTGGGGGTGGGGGTGTTTGAGCAGGTCACAGCAGCTCGTTCTCGAATATAATGGCATCATAAAGTAGTCATATCTGCCGCATCCTGACGTGTGGTCAATACCATACCAACACTGAAGCACTCTGGCTTGGTGAGTTTCTTGATAGTGCAATCGCACCAGGCGGTGCTCTGGAGTGCCTGGTGAAAATGCATCATTTCACGTCCATTAAATAGCTCGAGCACTGCTGAGTGTGTCACTGAACATCACACACAGACACACACACGCACACAGTGCCCGCGTATGAACTAGTACCGATAATGGTAAATTTGCAAGGCTCTGGTTCCATCATAACTCTTAGACTCTTGGAAATCCAATAACCTATCCATTTTAGCATTTAGTTCCTCGCTCTTTTTCACCTGTTGTCGGAGAATATGCTCAGCATTTCCTGGATTATCTGCTGTATTGCTTCGAACCTTCCTGTAAGACATCACAAATCTCTTTTCAGAGTCGCCACCAGCAGCTGATTGGATGCCTTCATCTGTATTTTCACCAATTGATTCTTTAGGATCAACCCCAAGCCTTGGGAATCTGAAACATTTTGGCAGTTTTGAGTTCAGTTTAGAATACCAACCTTCAATAAAGATGATGACTGATAGATTTTGTAAACGCCAAACCATTTCATTGTTTGTTTGTGGGTCGTGAAATCGATTAGTCAATACGCCTATAAGGGCATTGATCATCAGCAGAAAGATGATCAGTATAAACAGAGCAAAGAGAAATAATATTATCCCATCTTCACGGGATTTCAGCAGCTGATCAATTTCTGTTAATCCAACCATCAGTTTACCCATGGTAAGCAATGACATACCGTATTGTGAAAAGTCATCTACAACAGTAGCATTTGCTTCATTGTGTAGAAACGATGCATGCATGCAAGCCGTGAAAACAAACACCTGCATCAGGATTAAGACGGCAAACGGCACCACAGCTGTAAACAAAGCCTCATTTACAAGTACAATATACACACTGAAACATTTGATTAATCGCAGGAAGAACAATATTGGCCATGTACCTACAATTATAGCCCACACAAGAAACGTGGTTTTGTAGTCAACAAAAAGTGAATTAGGTATCCTGTAAAATATTGAATCAGCAAATAAAAAAATAGCAAACAGGACAAAGGTAACCCTATACACAACATTGTGGTGCACCGCTGTCCATGCAAATGGTTGCTTCGCAAAACAAAATCGAAGTGGGAATTCTTGTACAAAATACAAAATAGAACATACGAAAGTAAGAATGTTACAGAATTCAAGAAATCCACTTGGCCAGTGTATTCCCTCAGTAACACCAGCTCTGGCAACAACATACACACACAGCAAGCAAATCAGAGAGACGTGGAACATACCCAGAAACAGTAAGGGATTACCAGTATGCATCCATTTTACGACGAATCATTTCTTCAAAACGTCTCCACGAACCAGTTCAGTTGCCACTGGTAGTCTCTGACAACAGAGTAGCTCAGCAACAGAATTGTTACCAAAGGAACCGTTATCAACTTTGCGTTGATCTCTTTCCTTCTTACGTTTATCGACATTTGACGCAGCATCTGTGGAGACAGGGCAGTGTTTGTTTATCCCCTGCCTCGTCTGTTTTACCTTTTTATCGCCAGTTCCGTTTTGTCCGTCGGTGGTGGAGGCTTCTGAGCTTCAATCAATGCAATTTTGTCCGTTTCAGTCACATCAAAGCGTCGTATCTCGTAGAGTTCATCGTGGGGATATTCAATGAGATAGACTCCTTTAACTTTGAAGAAGTAGGCAAACAGTTTAATGTGACCGCTTTCAGTTGCAAGCTGAAGTGCTGTCATGTGATCGTTGTTTTGTGTGAAAAATACCTTTCTTTTGTAGTCAATAGCATCTTCTCTAGCCTTCTCTGCTCTTTCTTTCATTAATAACTCCAAATCTGACATCATGTCTACTGCGTTTCCTCACACGCAGGAAAGCACTTTACAAATCGCATGATGCTGTGGAGAACTGTATCTTCTCTGTGGTTCTGCTCGTTAAAAACATCCGCTTTTTCCGCAAGTAATTTCATGATTTTCACAAATCCATTCTCTTGGTCCATGTATGTATCATATTTGTTTGGGTCATTCAGGTAGCACAAGACAGCCGTGTGGAACGGTAACTGCCCCATGAATACAGTTCCGTTCATTCGTTTACCAATCCAGCCACATTGCTCCTTTGAAACCTTTTCCAGCATGAGTTTAACCAAGAGATCATTACCCTGGGCAACTGCAATGAGGAAGGGTGTCAGTCCTTTGTAAGTGTCGATCCTATCGGGCCAAGCACCAATGTCGGTGTTGATAAGATCCTGGGTATCTTTCAAAATTGCTGTAGCTGTTTCTGTTTTATTAGCACATACTGCTAAATGTAGAACTGTGTGGCCCCAGAGTTCTTCAAAGTCTTCTCCCTCATGCTTATCAGCATATTCCTTAGACCCTTCCCTATCTTCTTCCTTTCGACTGTATCGGTAATATTTCATCGCGCCTTTCGTGTCTTTCAGCTCGATTTTGTAATAATTAAGACAGTCGGTATCTGGTCACTCTCCGAGACACAATCTTCTCCACAAAACATTCAAAGACTTGCCAGTCTGAAAAACCATTAAACATGCATTGGGTGAAGGAACAAAAATTAGCATATGTCTCAAAACAGTTTTTGCTGAATGAACGTTGAAATGAGCACTGAAATATCCACACAGCATTCGACAACACCCTGTACATTATGCGATACCTGAATCTGCCTTTTCTTACTTGGTGTGTGAAAACAGCACTTTACCCACCGTTCAACACTAATTAGAGTGTATATACTACAGAGAGTGTATGTTATTATCCACGTTTTAAGTGTTTTTGGATTTTGTTACGTGTTGATTTCTAAGTTGAAAGTAAACGTTAAACCTGAAATCAGGCCGTAAAAGAACTGAAGGGTGAAACAAAGCAATAATTCCTAAACAATTGTATTCTAAAATTCACAATGTTTATAAATAAACACAAATCATTACATAGGCATTATATTGGCGTACAATTTCAAAGATAATGATGGTAATTTTCACCTCACTATAACAACGGTCATGTTTCCAACATAGGCCCAGGGTACAAATGATTTCCACATTGGTCCTCTTGCAAATTGAGATGTAAAGTGAAATGGGGGCAGGAGTTAGCCCCCTCACGGTCCTATGTCATAATATAGTGGAAAAGTCCATATGGTTTTAGTGCCCTGTAGTACCTTCCAGAACTCTTGTATTAATATTTCGTTATTGAAATACATAAATTCGGCAGCCACATGACCTCCTCAAAAAACATACTCATAGGTTATTGGTTTAGAATCTGGGTTAGAATTGATCTTTAGCAAAGCATGTTTGTCGTAACAGGCGACTAATATGATCGGGTGGTCAGGCTCGCTGACTTGGTTGACACATGTCGTTGTATCCCAATTGTGAAGAACGAGGCTCATAATGTTTATCACTGGAATGTCCACACTTTATTATTTCCAGACCGCCGCAATATAGTTGGAACATTGCTGATTGCGACATTTAACAACAAACAAACAAACACCATACTTACCAGAAAGAACTTCTTGCATTTGCTTCCAAGTCAGTTGCTTGTTGAAACCCTTGTCTTCAGAATCCTGCATCGACATGCATCAATATTAACACACGTTTTATACAAAAATATGGAAGTAAGTTAATTCTCAGCATCTAACACGAAATTTCACGTTTTAATATTGTAATATCAGTGTCAGGAAACATGAGAGGGTGCTTCCAGTGAATATCTTCCTAGTAAATCATGTCTTTACGTTCCATTTGAGAAACGACGTAGATAAGGCATCATGTCATTTCGGTGATGATATGTAGAGGCTGGGGGTTTCTAAAATATTGATTTTCGGTTCAAGACATACGATTTTTAATATGCATGAACGAATGGAAGAATGCTGAACGAAAAGTTCAGATAGCACACAATTTCATTAAAATCTCGAACATACGCCGAGGCATGCTCTAAAGGGATGTAAGTAAAACAATTTTCTGTCACAGTAAGTGAGTAAGCTCTTACCTCTGGGCTTTGTTTGGTCCCGTCTATTTTTCCAGACAGCATTGCGAGATACCCTTTCTGCTCGGTGTTCACAACAATTCCCTTCACCAGTTCAGCGGACGGATCAGTTATGGCCCTGAGGCATTTCCTTTCGAGATCATTGATGACCTTTTTCATTTCCTCTTTCTCTTTGGCATAATTTTTCTCTTCCTCTTTCCCTTTGGCATTCTTTTTCTCCTTTTCTCTTTGGCATTCTTTTTCTCCTTTTCTTTCTCTTTCTCTTTCTCTTTGGCATTGATGAATTCTTCTATTAGGTTGTTTATCCTGATGATAGCTGGGTATACTAAAATCAAACAAATTTCAATAGTTTAGTTGATCACACATATTGATTTAAGACGAGTACATTATAAACTCCCTAAAATGCAAACAAAACGGTGAACACGACATTATTTGCATATCCTTTCTATAAAGTATGGAAGCGTTTTAAACATCTGGCAGTGCAATGGGTTATTACATACTGTTGAAGTGTCTCTAAACGTTTATGTGATTCTGCGTTTAAGGAATAATTATGCTGGTATGTTACCCACTGAGATATCATGCTGTTGTTGTCGACCGCCAGAGCATCTGCCCGGAGAGCGGAAGGTCGCAGGTTCGATCCCCGACCGTGTCATACCAAAAGACGTTAAAATATGGTACTTGTTGGTCCCTGCCTGGCGCTCGGCATTAATGGGTACAACAAGGAGTGGTCGGCTCGGAGTCAGTATAATGTGTCTGAGTGGGGTATTCATGCTTCACTGCGGCATGGTATTTCAGTGGGCTAGCACTATAAAACCAACTTCAGTCTGGGCTAGTACAAGCAGCCGCACATACGCATACACACGTATGCACGTCGTCATTTCAGCGAAATATTCTCAAGCACGACGTGAAAGCCAATTTCACCTCACCTCACCTCACCTCACCTCACCTCACCTCATGCTGTTGTTATCCTTGGATACATTAGTCTCCCAGACTAGCCACAAAGAGTAGTAATGCAGACCTTCGGGCAGGTCAACAGCACCGGGGTAACGATCCACATCGATCCCTACGACATTCGTAAGCCTTTCCATAAACTATTCGCTTTGTGGATCTGGACCCAAGTCTGTTAACGGAATTTGGTCTGACATGGTCAGGGACCGTTCCACCGAGTTTTCGCTTTCCGGGCAGTCTTCTAACCTCGTATTGGTATAGCCTAAGATCTCTGTCTGCCTGTCTGTCTGTATGTCTGCCTGCCTCTCTCTCTCTCTCTCTCTCTCTCTCTCTCTCTCTCTCTCTCTCTCTCTCTCTCTCTCTCTCTCTCTCTCTCTCTCTCTCTCTCTCTCTCTCTCTCTCTCTCTCTCTCTCTCTCTCTCTCTCTCTCTCTCTCTCTCTCTCTCTCTCTCTCTCTCTCTCTCTCTCTCTCTTGAGTGTCTTAAATTCAGTGACGTTAAGATACCTACATGTAAACATAATGCGGTGGACATCTTGTCGTTTCAGAAGATTTTCAAATCCAGGACTTGAGGATGCATTTCTGTTTCTGTTTCTGTTAATTTGAAAAACATCAGCATAATACGGATTAATTTGACCATAATAAAGCGGTACAATGTAATTATGAAAAAAACACAAAACGAATAACTACACGAACGAAATGTTGCATTATTAGATAGTATTACCATACAGAAATAATTGACGATCCCGAGAAATTGCTCCGAATCACGTCTTAAAATGGCCAGAAACCATTGCCCTCTGAGAAGTCCTGGGAACTCTTTTGATCGTCTTGGTGAGATTTCACCATAAGGAATGCTTGCATTCTGAACCTCGCAGAGTGTCGTCATACGTTAATAAATCGAATACACATGACGACCTCATCAACAACAGTAGATCAGCGTCAGGGACTGGCCGTAATGGCGGCCAACCCGTGACAACCTCGGGTCGAGATATATGCACGTGAACAACATTTCTTAGAGGTACCAGAAACCGCCACAGTCAATAGGTCACACCAGATCTGAACCAGACAACCCTGTGATTGACATCGATCTACGCGATTAGCATACAATGACATGCGAGATTCACCACCCGATCCCTCTTATGACAAGCTTGGAATCAGGCTTAGAAGAGCGATTCTAACCTATTCCTTCAGGCTTTAACCATTTTGGAAGTTTGACGTTATCATACAGGCTGGAATAACGGCTACAGGAAGGTCCGAGAGGTATATTGAACGTCAGACATGAAGTAGGGCTTTCACCGTCCTGGTGCCATAGATATGGTCCTGATAAACCAGGAATCAATACATTGACTGGAGATTCGAACCCAGTACTCAAGAATTCAGGTGATAGTACATACACTCGAAAGTAGAAAATCAAAAAATGTTTAAGCCATACCTTATGTTCAATGTCTTCTTCAAACAGCTTTCGATAGCCCTCTAACTTCTCAAAGTCTGCTTCTCTACCTCTCGCTGGGTCATTTGGAAGAACTTGGGCATCTTGGAGCACTCTGCCCCAATGCTCCTTCAACGTCTGTGGATCTCTTCGCTGTATATCCCAAACGGCCTTGAATTCTGAAATTGCAACGTATTTGTATGGTTTTGTTATAAGCATATTTTGAGAACTTGTTTTTCTGTTTCTGTTGTTTTCACTGTTTTTTGTTGTTTGTTGTTTAGCGCCGCACTCAGCAATATCCCAGCTATATATCGGCGGCCTGTACATAATCAAGCCTAGACCAGATAATCAAGTGATCAGTAGCTTGAGCATCGATATACACAACAGAGGTACGATGACATGTGTCAATCAAGTCAGCAAGTCTGACCAGCCGATCCCGGTCGTCGCCTCTTACGACAAGCATTGGTTGTTGAAGACCAATTCTAAGCTACATTTTCATGGGTAAATAAATATAACTCTTCACGGGTATGATCACTGGTCTCGTCAATATTTTATATTGATTTATAAATAAATGCCTCTGATTAGCCTTGATCGTAAAATCAATTTGGTTCAGTAAAGATTTCTTATGTCAAGCCTATGAATTCTAACTGTTGTATATAGTTAACAAGGGCAATAATAAGAGCAATTAGTGAAGGAGTATGGTTTTCCGCCGCTTATATCAATATTCCAGCAATATTACGGCGGGGGACACTAGAAATGGGCTTCACACATTGTACCCATGTGGGGAATCAAACCCGGGTTTTCACCCAGGCGTGACGAGCGGACGCTTTCATCACATGGCTACACCAACGCCTTGAATACATGTAGAGATCACTGGCATGTTTTATGTGAACCCCACGAAAGTTTAAAACAGTAAATATGCAATGTAACTGACGAGGGCTGGCTATCGGTATAGTTAATAGAGATTAAAAATTGTAAACTTAATATCGATCATTATCGATAACTATCGGAGACGTAACTTCAAAAAAGAAATGTCCAAAATGTTTGAAAGACATGAATATACATGTATTTTACATCACTGATGAGAATTGACACGTTATGCATTCATTATTATCAAAACGGCGTCGTGAACAAAATTTGGAAGCAGACAATAAATTCAGTCCTAAATTTCTATATTGTGTGAAAGAATTCAACATTTTTTCTATCACAAAAGCTGATGTTAATGCGATATTATCGAAAACAATTTTCATATCGTTAATCAGTAACAATATCCAAATGACGATTTTTCCGATTATCGATCATTTTAGACAGCCCTACAGTTGACTAATTTATCCATGTACTGCCTCTTGATACAGATTCTTTCCATATGACATTCGCTGCAATTCTATCAAATAGGGGTCATACCCTTTACAAGATACATTCATAGGGTAAACTACAATTAATGTCAGGATTATATCGGGAGTCTGGCAAAACTAAAAAAACTCTATGTTTTTGTTCTACCCGCGTTTGCCAGGAACTTTCCTATCCATGTTCGGCATTTGCGCTCGAAATATGTAGCTACCGATTCCATGAGGGATCTTGTTGTTGCACATTCACTACATTTCCATGTGTTTACAATACTCATTTAGAACCGTTGTTCTGGTCTGAATAAATGTTTTAACCTATTGTATTCCTTCGGAGGCGATTTAAATGTGCATTTAAGCACATAACAACACTATTCGTGTTATAGGCAGTCCATAATAAGTACCATACCTTTGACAATGTCTTTTACTTCTCGACGTGTCAAGAATTTGCAACTGTTCCTGTTGCTCGTGTTCTAGAAGAAGGATTAAATACATTGTTTATAACATGCCAGTACAGGCTACTGTCATTTATATATAACTATACCGTTACCGTTATTTTGATGTTAGTACGACATACTCGGAGCTGCTGAACTCTGATAACTTTCAATCTAGGCTGTATCGCTCATATCGATGCGATTATCATTGTACTCGTTGTATGTATTTCTATCATGTTTATAACTTATAAAGGCGGGTGTGATGAAAACTATTACTTTAATATAACCTATCTCAAGATGTTCATTTTATCACTTACGCTACTGTATTTATCTTAAAAGATTCATATCATTTACAATGCAAATCAACTAGAAATGACAGATCGTTTGCGCCTTCTAAACAAAGGCTGCACCTTTTTGGTGCCTCGTTTCTCAAAAATCAACGTTGCGTAGCAACACTCCTCAGATTCGTCCATATCGTCCACAATGTATTCACTGATGTCCATTTCATCCTTTCTGAGATTTTCCAATAATTTCTTCGTCTGTGTGTCTTCTAATGTATCTATTTCCCTAAGTATATCCAGACCTGAAAAATGTTGAGAAATAGATATGTAGACCTTGTAGGGTAATGCGTTCCGATTCGAATCAATTTTATGAATTTCCAACACGATTCCAAGTTTGAAATGATCTCATCTATTAACAGCAATAAATTCCAACGCGATTTCCAAAGATTCAAATTATCTCATCTATTAAAAGTGATACTTTCCAACACGACTCCAAAGATTCAAATGATCTCATCTATTAATAGCGATACTTTCCAACACGATTCCAAAGATTCAAATAATCTCATCTATTAATAGCGAAACTTTCCAACATGATTCCAAAGATTTAAATGATCTCATCTTTTAATAGCGATACTTTCCAACACGATTCCAAAGATTCAAATAATCTCATCTATCAATAGCGATACTTACTCAATAGGACTTTCTGGATATCATCTTTCTCCATTCTGACATCGGTTCCTTTGTGTGCCTTCAAAACATCGCATTAGAAGATGTATCATAGTTTGTCACACAATTTTCATGAACATTACAAAAACACTAATTCTTCATTATCTCACATTTGTCACTACATTATCTAGATCATATGATCTTATATTTTTGCTTTAGGGCGATGTATGCGAGAATTTCGTAAAAAATAATGACACTGGGTCAGCGTATCCTGGCTTACCTAATGGAAGTGACTCAATATTTCGTTTAACACTATGTTTAAGGGAAACCAGTTCTTCGGGACTAGTTTATTGTGTCTCTGATATACGAGGGACAGTCAAAAAGTAGTCGGCCTGACCTAGTAAATGATACAAATGCAGCTGTTTTTATGTTTCATTTTTCTACATATTATCTGTCAACCTCAAGCAAATTGGTTTTGCTACGTTCCAGCCTTACGATCCCCATTTTGTGTTTGAAATTTTTATGTTCGGAACCCCCCCCCCCCCCAAGCGCAAAATCTGCAATAAATGCACCACAAATTTCAGGTAACAAAATATGCAAGAAACATTTTGTGTGTTTGAGTTAGGTGGACGTCCGCTAGAACCAAATATTAAAGTGCATAAAAAAGCAATTTGAAAGGACAATCGCTTCAATCGTGATTCCCCTTCATGTTTACTGAAACAGCTTGTTTTGGAGACACTACCCACCCCTTTTCAGACGACGAAATCATAAGGACATAACTTATTCTAATGTTTTAACTCTTTCACACATGATGCTAAAGGTTCAAAGTAAATACTGGAATGGTCACACAAGTGTCAACTCTCAGTATATTGTAAACAGGGCCAGCTTGAATACTTGGACACAATGTTTTTGAAAGACTAAATGGGGGCGTCCTTAAACGAAACAGCCCCCGACTAAATATGAATCAAGCAATCCAAAGCTTTGACTCTTGATTATGACGGGAAGTCATCCAATACTATACTAACATATTTTATATGACATTATCTGAGGGCATACCATTATCCAAGAGGTACTAAATGACGGATCGTTTTTCATTTTCTGCATCTTTTCTGGAATATTATACCCAAATGTGTTGTGATGACTAATATCTCGTTAATCACATTACCTACATGTTTGAAATTTTTCATACGGCTTTGCTAATGATTCCTACACACTAAAATGGAAGCTTTTCAAACATTGGACATCGAGAAAATAGTTAGGCCGACTACTGTTTGACCGACCCTCGTAGCTGTTCGGTGCTTGATTTTACGATAGCTCAAACAGACCGAGTGTTGTTTTCGCCGTATACGACAATATTTCAGCAATGGACGGCGGCCCTTAGGTAACCAGACAAACCAGTGGTGGGCATTATGAACAACAACTCATGCCACAACAACAACTTGGAGC